TGGGGTGGGGGTGGGCAGGGAGAAAAATGCATCAATGAATGAATGGAAATCTAAAATCTCTGTAAATTTCATTAAAATTACTAAAATAAAATTTTTTAAAAATTTTCAAGAACAACAACAAAAAGTATCAGCTCAAGAATTATTCAGAAGAGAGAATCAAAGTGACTGGCTGTATACGGAGAATTACAGGGTTGGAGATAGAGTGAGAGCTGTAATATCCCTTGAGTTCTCAAAGTTTATCTCAACCAATAGAATTCTCTATCCTTGGATCTTGTACAACACACTTGTTGGAAACAGAAGGCACACTCAGAAGGGATATATTTGATTCAGGACTGTCTACCGTGGGGAAGTCAGAGCCAAAGGAAATCAATAATGGATGTGGCAGAACATCCCTGGACTAGTGACAGTGAGGGCACAGGACTCCTGGTAGACCTGAAGGACAGCAGAGAGAGCCATTTCCAGAGCTGGGGAGGCTGCAGCTGTCAGGGAGAGCCACCTGCAGAAGGTACAGCCTGCAGTGGAGGAACATCATCACTGCCAACCAGTAGCCCAAAGAAAGGACCCTGGATCAAACGTCTCTATCCTGCCCTCAGATCTCACCGACATCTCCTACTCACAGAACTCAACTGATAATCTGAGGGCCAGGAAGCCTCATTCATTCTTACTGAACTTCTTCAGAGCATGTGAAGTGTGGATTGAGATGGCAGACAGGGAAGGGCCTGCATCATACCCACCATCTATTCATGGCTGCCATCCAGTTATTGTTCAGCCAACCTGTTAACTATTCATAATATGAATCTGTTCATATTTCTTTATTGTTTTTCTAACATTTGGCAGAACATTAGGATATTCTTTTCTAAGAAACACACATGTAACTGAATTTTCATTTTGAGTCACCAAATAGAAAGCTTATATGTTCTGCTTCTTTTTCCTTAGCTTAATGAGGCTAGCAAAGGCTTAAAGTTCTGCTGTATTCTGAAAGTTATATGTGGGGATGGATCAACTGCAAGGGATTTATAACATTAGTTAAAATAATAGATGACGCTCATTTTGTAAAATGGCCAAATGTGCACTGTATATTGCACCGTCTGTTTGAGAAGCCCACAGATTTACTCTCCCAAACATCTGGCAGCTCATCTCCAGGTTCTGTATACATACGGAACCTGAACTGGCTCTACCTCAGAATGAGGCCTGGCCCAGAATATTCTGGGAGCAAGTACAACTGCACATACAGTGCCATTAGTGTGAGTCCTATATGTTAAGTAACAAAATGGGTAATGTAGCCTCTTTCCTACTAAAGCTTTTGTTTAAATTTTCCACAGGAAGAATCTATGTCTCACAAGAATATACTGGGATCTGCTGGCCTTTGGGAAAGAAGGTAAAGGTAAGGCATGATTCTAAGTTCATATGCAGATGGATGGCTGTGTGGATTCTGTAGGTACTAATAAATTATAAATAAAACAACATTGCACATTTGCGAAAGCACTGTGCTGTGTTCCACTGTGGGGGGTGGGGTTTGTGTTACAACTGAAATTAGTTGATTATGAAGTTCGTCAGCTAAATCCCATATATATTTATTTATATTTATAATATATATTATTATAATATATATTAAATCCTATATATTTAAGTCAAAGTTGGATCACTTGTTAAGAAAACATACTGTAAGAAAGTTAGTATTATAATGAGTAACCACAGAGGACTATCCTCTAAGGGAAAGAATAGAAATTGACATTGTTAGATATATATTAGATAAGTTTCTACTTCTTAACCTATAATAATCTAACATTCACAAAAATGTATGTGTGTCTACTATAGCACAGACCTCTTTAAACTGTTAAAAAGCAAAGCAAATAACTTCAGGGATAATTAAGGTACACCTAACTCAAGCATATTTTCAGTCACCTCACATGCCTGTGAAAGCTGTACAATAAATAAAAAAGAACCAAGAAGAACTGATGCATTTGAACTATAGTATTATCAAAGAATACTGATGATACCTTACACTGCCAGCATAATGAATAAACTGTCTTAGAAGGAGTACAGCCAGAATGACCCTTCAAAGCAAAGATGGTAAGATTTACATCTCATGTAATTTGGATATGTTATCAGGAGGGATTAGTCCTTATGCAAGGACATCAGGATTGTTAAAGTGCAAGGTCAGTAAAGAAGATGAAGAGTCAATGGGATCCTTTGACTCAGGGCTGAAACAGTGAGCTCAAAAGTGACAACAACTATGAAAATGGTGCAAGACCAGGCAGTGTGTTGTTCTGTTGCTATGAATCAGGCAGCATCTGACAACACCAAACAATAACAACTAAGTGAGGAACATAAAGACATTAAGGTTTTTAACCTGCAAAACTTAGAGAAAATACATTCCTGTTACATAAAGCCACCGACTCTAGTATTTCTTACTACAGCAGCTTTAGATAACTTGTATAATATAACATTCCTTATTGCTGAGGGGCAAGATTTGTTTCAAGTAGAAGAGTTAGGAAGCTACTACAGTTAGACAAGTGACGGATGATGCTAAGCTGGACAAGTGTAGACAGGCTATGAAGGAAAAGTACTAGTGAAAGTAAATCTAGCTTGAGAATGGGGAAAGGCTTCCCTGAAAAAGTGTGAATTGAGTTTAAGTGAACTTAAAAGCTGGGCTGTGGCACCAAGGATATCATTGCGGATGTCAGATGGATCATGGTTGAAAGCAGGGAATACCAGGAAGAATGTCTATGTGTGTTTTATTGATTATTCAAAGGCATTTGGCTATGTGGAACATAACAAATTATAGCTAACATTGGTAAGAATAAAAGTATTGGTAAGAATAACAGTGCTCTTGAGAAACCTTTACTTTGATCAAGAAGTTGTTGTCTGAATGGAGCAAGAGAACACTGCATGATTTAAAATCAAGAAGGATATATGTCAGAGAAATATCCTTTCTCCATATCTATTCAGTCTGAATGCTGAGCAAATAATTCATGAAGATGGGCTCTATGAAGAGGAATGTGGCACCAGAATTAAAGAAAGACTCTAAACAGTCTGTGTTACGTTGATGACACAACCCTACTTGATGAAAATGAAGAGGATATGAAATGTTTGCTGCAGAAAAGCAAAGACTACAGTCTTAGGTATGGATTACATCTCAACATCAAGAAAACAAAGGTCCTTACCATAGGACAACAGTCAACATCATGATAGATGGAGAATGGACTGAAGCTGCCAATGACCCCATCTTGCTTAGATCAAAACTCAGCATCCATGGTACGGCCAGTCAGGAAATCAGTAACGATTGCATTAGACAAGGTGACTATAAGGTACCTTTCCAAAATACTGAAGCAATGATGTCAGGTTGAAAACTCAAGTTTGCCTGATTCAGTCCATGGTCTTCTAGATCACCTGCTACACATCAGAGAGCTGGACAGTGAATAAGGATGACAGGGAAGACTTGATGCCTTTCGGTTATGGTGCTGGAGAAGAGAACTGAATAGTCCATTGATTGCCAAAAGTAAAAATGGTTAAGCCTTGAAAAAAGGGCAGCTGGAGTGCTCTCTGGAGGCACAGATGGTGAAGCTTCATCCCTCATACCTTGGGCATGTAGCTAGGCGAGGCTATTAAGTGGTAACAAGTTTGGAAAGATTGAGAGTCAGAAAAGAGAGGAAGACTTCATGAGGTGGACTGACACAGTGACTTCTGCAATGGGCTGTAGTGTGTTGTAGATGATAAGGATGTCGCAGGATAGGCTGAGATTCAGGTCTGTTGTTCTTAAGGTCTATGAGTTGTACTTGACTCAAAGGTACCTAACAACAGCAGTGGGAAAGGAAGGAGCTCTGGTGGCTTATTGGTAAGGAAATGTGTTGCCAGTGCAAAGGTATGTGGTTCGGATCCACCAACTGCTCAGTGGGAGAAAGAAAAGCAGTCTCCTCTCATGTAATTTATTGCCTCTGAACACCTGCTGAAGGAAAAGCTAAGGGTTGTTTCTGTTTCAGTGGTACATACCAAAACCAAGAGCCTGAAGACAGAGTCCAGAGTACTAGAGAGATGAAAGAAGGCCAGTGTGGCTGAAGTGCTGTCATCAGAACTGGTCTTCAGTTTGAGGTTGGGGGTGTAGGGGCAGAGAGCAGGACCTGTAGGGTCTTAATACATGTACATTTAAATGTTTCTCTTGATTGTCAAAGCTGTGGGAAGTCACTGAAAAGATTTTAGAAGTGGTAATGTGGTGAAGCTGAAGAAGGTTAAATCATATCCACAGGAATAAAAATTTGATCTTAAGTCTACACTCCTCCCCAATTTAAAAACCATCTCAGGAATAAGTTTGAGGCCTTGAACACTAATGAACAAAGCCCAGATGAGCTGTGGGAAGATATCAAGTATATCATTCATGAAGAATGCAAAAAGTCAGTACAAAGAAGAAAGAAGAAGAAAACGCCAAAATGGATGTCAGAAGAAACTCTGAATATTACACTA